CCAAAAAGTCTGCATATAAGCCTACATTTACATTAAAATTGAGAGTCTTACTTCTTTCCAGCCAAAGTCATAGATACTAACTGTTGACTATCTGTTATTGCTCCTTTTCCATAGGGTCATTGTTAACGTATGTCTCTGTTATCTTACCAAACATAGAAAAATGGTCTCTGGTTAATTATAGGAAAGCAGATACCACCAAGGGGAGGTATTATAGCTGTCACTCAATGGCCTACTGTAAAAGGTTAAGAAAAGTCAATAAATGAATATTAAGGAAGAGACCACAGAACGTGGACCTGAGGTCAGATTACTTGTGTTCCGGTCTAAGCTCCGCTACTTATTAGTTGTGTGACCAGTGGGAAGTTATTTTGTTTCTCTAAACCTTTGTATCATTATTTGTAAAAGCAGAATGATAATACAGGTTGAGTATCCCTAAGCCAAAAATCTCAAATCTGAAATGATCCAAAATCTGAAACTGTTTGAGCACCAACATGATACTCAAAGGAAATGTTCATTGAAGTGTTTCAGATTTGGGATTTTCAGATTCGGGATGCTGAAGCAGTAGGTATACTATAAATATTCCAAAATGTGAAATCGAAAACACTTCATTTTGAGTAAGAGATATTGGACCTGTAATAGGACTCAGGATTTTTGTGAAAATTGAATAACCTATCTGAAGTATTTAGCTATCCACCTTCACATAGTAATCTACTCAATATGTGATAACTGCATTATTATTTAGAATAGGAATGAAGTGAATAGGACAATAACGTCCAGGGCCTGGGTGGTTCAGATACCGTGAGAAAGACAGTAACTAACTCCTTAGATATTTCAAATGCTAAAATACATGAGTGAATCATAATAAGTTAGCATTAATGAGTCATCCTGAGGTTTCTAGCTCTTGCTGTGTTCTCTAAATTCCACTCATTATGATACAGTATTGAGCTTGTAAAATATTTTTTAAAATGAAGACTTTCAGGCAAAACACAATGGTAAGTTCAAGCATCACCACAGCCTCTACATTCCTGCTCTAAACACACATAAGTAATAAAGTATAAAAATTAAAAAGTGGAATATATATATAACTAGACTTGAAAACAAGATTAGAAATGTAATAGACATTCAAGGTAGTGAGCTCTGGTTTCTGGGTGTTTAGGCTCTTAAGGACAATGAATTGTTTCAAATATGTTCCATGAAGGCCAGAGCAAGACTTCTTGCTCAAGTCCTTCCTTATAATAAGATGCTGGGAAAATCTGCCAACCTGCTATCTACAGAAAAGTTTTCTGAAAAGTTGTAGACTTGACATGGGGGGACAAAAACATTGCCTTACAATAATAACAATTTCCCCACAACATTAAGCCAATATGAAGCCTGAACCCCCAAAGTCATTTGAAGAGTAGGTTCTAGTTTGGAAGAGAGATCATAAAGGAATGGGAGAAAAAAATGAAACAAAACATTAAAAGTCTCCCACTAAGTATGTAATACAAAATTCCAAAAAACAAGACAAATTCTAATTTTCAGAATGATCTAATAAAATCAACAATTAGATCATGAATTTATTCTAGATGAAATTAATGTTGTACAGTAGGTATACAAAAAGTTTAAAAGAAGATTAGGATGCTCAAAGAGATAAGTGAAGGAATATGATCCATTTATAAAGAAGACATTGTGAAACAAAAATAGGTGGAAAGGAAATGAGTAGATAGATATCAAAAGACAGAGACACTGAGAATTAAATATATTATACAATCGTTGAAATAACTCATATAGTATAACATTTGCTGCACCCAGTTCAAGTATAAAATTAGTAAATTGGAGATGAAATTGAGGACTTCACTGAGAATGTAACACAGACTAAGATAAGAAATATGAAAGGCCAATTGAAAGTAATAAAAATAGCCAGGTGTGGTGACTCACACCTGTAATTCTGTAGGGCACATTGGGAACCAGATGTAAGGCTGAGTGCCCCACAGGGTCGTGGGGTGAGCCTTATGCTGTGCCGAGGTGCAGGATCCGAGAAATAAAGAGACAGGACACAGAAGTACAAAGAAAATGCAGCTGGGCTCGGGGAGCCATGCCACCTGTAAGCGGAGTCAGGCGAGGCCCCGAGTGTCCAGAAGCATGAGTATTTATTGTGTATAGGTTAGGGGGTAGGGCAGTGAGTGAAATCATCTTTAAGGATAGTGATAGGGTCGTGAGCAATAAAACATAGGGTCCACCCCATTAGGTCACCTAGGCCAGGAGGTGGACAGCGCACAGCAAGGGGCCCGTTCCCACGAAGGCAGGGGCTGTGTGCAATAAGGGGTCCACCCCCATTAGGTCACCGAGGCTTGAAGGTGGGCCGTGCAAAGTGAAGAGGGTGCAGTGTGCAATACTTCTATCTATGGGAAACTACTTCTAAGAAGATTTACAGGAGGATGCTTTAAGTCACATAGCAGTGACAGAGCTGTCAAGGTTACCGCCACCTTCTGGCAGCTTCCAATGGATTCTATGGGAAGATGCTTTTCAAGCAGCACAGTAGCAAGAGCTGATAAAGTTCACAGTCACCAAGGTGGATTGCCATTCTGAGGGCAGCCTTCCACAAGAACTGGAGCAAGATCCTACAACTCCTTTATCAGGAGGAGTGGCTCTCACCCCAAGCCTGCCATACAGCAGGTATCTTTACAATACTGAACGCTGCCGCCTGGGCCATGGATTCTTGTCCTGGTATAACTGTTTTTCCCTTAATTCATGCTCTGCACTGTATCTGCTCTAGGCATTCCTCCGATTGTAAGCTGCTTATTCCTTAATTCATGCTCTGTACTGTGTCCGCTCTAGGCATTCCTCTGATTATGAACTAAGATATAATTATAAGTATATATGTAGGGAAATATTCTTCAGGCACTCATACTATCAACTATTATATGATTATATATAGAGGATTATATAAAGGAAGTCTTCAAGCCCTATTTCTATAAACTAATATATGATTATGTAAAGGATTATATAAAAGGAAATAGCTGAGTAGTAACACTATAAAGTGAGATATTCCTCAAGCCCTAACTGTGCCAGGGCTCTGCTTAGCTCTCATTCCTCAGTGCCTGTATGGGGGGTTACCCACATAATTCCAGCACTTTGAGAGGCCGAGGTGGGCAGATCACCTGAGGTCAGGAGTTTGAGACCAGCCTGGCCAACGTGGTGAAACCCCATCTCTACTAAAAATACAAAATTTAGCTGGCTGTGGTGGCGCATGCCTATAATCCCAGCTACTTGGGAGGCTGAGGCAGGAGAATCACTTGAACCCAGGAGACAGAGGTTGCAGTGAGCCTAGATCACACCACTGCACTCCAGCCTGGGTAACAGAATGAGACTCCGTCTCAAAAAAAAGCAAGTAATAAGGATACACTGAATGGTTTAGTATACATCTAATAGGAGTTCCAGACAATGAGTGATGGAGAAATAATATTTGAAAAGATAAAAATGGATAATTTTCAAGAAATGAAAGCATTAGTTCCTAGATCAAAAATGAATTCCAAATATTGCTCAAGATAAATAAAAATACACAGTTAAAAACATGGCTGTGAAAATAGAGAACATTAAAGATAAAGAGAAAATCTTGGGTTGGGCACAATGGCTGATGCCTGTAGTCCCAGCACTTTGGGAGGCTGAGGCGGGTAGATTGCTTGAAGTCAGGAGTTCAAGACCAGCCTGGCCAACATGGTATAACCCCATCTCTACTGAAAAAATACAAAAATTAGGTGGGTGTGGTGGCGGGCGCCTGTAATCCTAGTTACTTGGGAGTCTGAGGTAGGAGAATTGCTTGAACTTGGGAGGTGGAGGTTGCAGTGAGCTGAGATCACACCACTGCACTCCAACCTGGGTGACAGGGCAAGACTTTCTTAAAAAACAAACAAACAAAATCTCCATGCCTACAAGTCAATAACTAAAACTTCAGCGTTTTGCTTTTTAGCAAATAGGCAAAAGACTTGAGTAGGTACTTCACACGCAAAAAAGATGCTCAACATTGTTATTCATCAAGGAAATGCAATTTAAAACCATGGAGCAGTTGGAAGTCTCCTTGCTGGTGGGGGCTAGGGTGTAATTTGTTACAGTCACTTTGAAAAACTGTTTGGCATGTCTACTAGAGCTAAGCATACAACTGTACCCTGTGACCCAACATTTTAACTCTTAGGCCTATACTAAACAAAAATGAGTGCTTGTGTTCACTGAAAGACGTATTTAAGAATGTTCACAGTAGGTTTATTCATAATGGATAATTAGTGATATATTCACACAAGGAAATGCTATGTGGCAATAAAAAATAACTGCAGATAAAAGCAGCAACATAATGTTGAGTGTAATAAGACTCAAAGTACATATTATACTGATAGGTATATAAGATCTTTGGAAACAGATTATTAGAATAGCGGTTGACTAGGAAGCATGAAGGAGATTTCTGAGGTGCTAGAAATGTTCTATTTCTTTATCTGGTTGGTGGTTACAGAAATGCATCATATACATATATTAAAAGTCATCAAATTACAGACTTTATGTAAAGTTACACCTGAATTTATCAACAATGAGGAAAAAGGAATAAATAAAAACCATTTCAAACATAAAGTGACCAAGAGAGTTTACCACCTCTAGGCACTCATTCATTATAAGACATATTGGATTGTGTTCTTTAGCAAGAAGGAAAGTGTTACTCAGAGGAAAGTCAAGAAATACAATAACTAATGGTGAAAAAGAAACTGGTAGATATAGTCTGGTGGCTTGCATCTCTAATCCCAGCACTTTGGGAGGCCAAGGTGGGCAGATCACTTGAGCTCAGGAGTTTAAGAGCAGCCTGGGCAACATGGCAAACCCCATCTCTTAAGCCAACATAAAAAAATCTTAAAAATATAAAAATATATATATATATATATATATATATATACACATACACACAGGTGTGGTGATACATGCTTGTAGTCCCAGCCACTCTGGAGCATGAGGTAGGAGGATCACGTGCACCCAGGAGGCTGAGGTTGCAGTGAGCCAGAATGATGCCACTGCACTACTCCAGCCTGGGTGACAGACTGAGACACTGTCTCAAAAAATAAAAATAAATATTAGTAAATGTATTAACAAATTTAATGAATTGCTGAATAGTTTAAAAAATTTTTTTAAAGTTTTTTGTCTTGGAAAGTCTAAACTATATTTCTATGTATCAGTAACAAAATGAACAGTATGTAAAGTGGATTTGTGTTTGTGATAAAAGAATAACTTTTGAAAAATGTATAGGTAACCATATTTGTTTTGAAAAACATTGAGGAAAATCAAAAGAACGGAAATAGTACCTGTAGCTTACAATGTACAGCTAAGGAGAAAAGAACTATAGTAACACTTTTTTATTATTTTCACTGATAATAGGAAAGAATAAATGAAGCAAACAAAAACAATGATAATGAAGATAAAAGATGATATTTAAAAAATCCACATATTTGATTTTTTAAAAATCTACTTCATGCAGCTTACAAGAGGTTCTTAAAACAGAACCACAGAAATATTTTAAGATAAAGCGATGAAAAATCCTAACATAAAAACGAGTCAAACCTGTATGTCAATATTAATTTAAATTAACTGATAAAACTACACAAAGTAAGCACTGAGGAGGGAAAAAAGAGGAACACTTCCTAATAACAAAAGGGATACTATCATGAAGATAAACAACCATTAATGTGTATGCACCCGCTGATAAAGCCTCAACATATAAGTAGAAATTGACAGACTTACAAGAAATGAAAAAAAATAGCTAACATCATAGGACATTTTAACACTTGTCCATCGGAAATTAACAAATCAAACAGAAAAAAGATTAGTAAGGCTACAGAAGATTTGACTAACACATTTGATTTTATACACGTGTGCGCGCGCGCACACACTCTCTCTCTCTCTCTCTCTCTCTCTCTCTCTCTCTCTCTCTCTCTCTCTCTCTCTCTCTCTCTCAATTAGCCCTCCATGTCCATGGCTTCTGCATCTGTGGATTCAGCCGCCTGGATTGAAAATACTTTTGAAGAAAAAAATGGCTAGTTCTATGTGTAGTAACACTATAATGTTCAGCACATTACAATACATTACATCAGCATACATTACAATACCCTAAAAAATACAGTGTAACAGCTCTTTACATAATGTACATTATATTAGATATAAGTAATATAGGGATCCTTTGAAGGTTATATGCAAATACACCATTTTATATCAGGGACTTGAGCATCCCTGGATTTTGTTATCTGCATGGGATCTCTCACCGATACCAAGGGATAACAGATAGAGTGTGTATGTGTGTATAGATACACACACATACACAGTCATCCCTCAGTATATGTGGGGAATTGTTTCTAGGACTGCCCACAGATGCCTGAATCCACAAAACTCAAGTTCCATATTGGCCCTGCAAAACTTGCATGGGCCCTGTGGAACCCACATATTCGAAAAGCCAGCTCTCCATATATGAGGGTTTCGCATGCCACAGATAACTGTATTTTTTGATCCTCATTTGGATGAAAAAAATCTGCATATAAGTGTATCCGTGCAGGTCTAACCCACAGATTGTTCAAAGGTCAATTGTATATATCGTAATACTGTTGCATTGAGGATTAAGTTTCAACGTAAATTTCAGAGGGGACACTGTCATTCAAATGGTAGCAGGAGCTAAAGCACTGCAAAGAGAAGCTTAAGGTTTTACACATTTTTTGAAAGATTCGGAATAATTAAAAATGAATGAGTTAAGCTTTCAACCCAAGAAACAAGAAAGAGAACAGGATACACCCAAGAGAATAATATGTAAGGAAGTAACAGAGCAGAATTAATGAATTAGAAATTGATATAAAATTTATCATGGCTGATCAATGGGAAAAGGAAACACAAATACCAGGTACGATCTCGGCTCACTGCAACCTCCGCCTCCCAGCTTCAAGCAATTCTCATGCCTCAGCCACCCCAGTAGTTGGGATTACTGTGGAAGAATACTAAGAAAGAGAACAGGGTACACCTAAGAGAATAATATGTAAGTAAGTAACAGCAGAATTAATGAATTCTGAGTTGGAATTACTGTGGAAGAATACTAAGATCCACTTCAAAATGTTTTAGAATTGTAATGAAATAATCCTTAAAATATATAAAAGAGCAGTATCAATGTCCTAAGTTAAAAAAAAAACATTAAAAAATGAATGCATCAAAAGTATATTTCAACAAATGACTTGAGGCATACACCAGGTGTTATGAATGCTGTGGTTTGAATGTGTCTCCATATTTTATGTATTGGAAGTTTAATCTCCAAATTTATATATTGATTGGAGGTGGGGCCTGTGGAGGTAGTTAGGATTAGATAAGGTCATCAGGGTGGGGCCCCCATGATGGCACACCTGTCTTTATAAAAAGAGGAAGAGATCTCTGAGCTGACATGCTGTAGTCCCCTTGCCATGTGATGCCCTGCACCACCTCAGGACTCGGCAGACTCCTTATCAGCAAGAAGGCCCTCACCAGATGCAGCTGCCTGTCTTGAACTTCCAGCTCCAGAAGTGTGGTAAATAAATTTCTTTATGAATTACCCAGTCTCAGGTATTCGGTTATAGCAACAGAAAACAGCATAAGACAACGATTTTTGCCAATCTTCAGGAAACATTTAATCTTACTCTTTTGCAAATTGTTCCAATGAGTAGAGATATGAAGGGTAACTTAATCAGGATTGTATGAACACTTAATCAAAACTAGATAAGGACAATACAAGAAAAAAGTATGGAGACATTCTCAGACATCAACAAAACTGGCAATGAAAATTCAGTTTATAATACAATAAAACATTTGACCAAATATGATGTATCTTATGATGTTTACTCTTAATGTGGTTTGACTTAAAAAAAAAAAAAAGTTTTAATGTAGTTTTCTACTTTAGCAGGTTAGAATCTCAAGAAAAAGGGTTTCATAAAATTAAACATTCATTCATGAATTTTTATTTTTTTATTATTTTTTATTTTTTTAAAGACGGGGTTTCACCATGTTGGTCAGGCTGATCATGAACTCCCGACCTCAGGTGATCCACCCGCCTTGGCCTCCAAAGTGTTTGGATTGCAGGCGTGAACCACCACGCCCGGCCTCATTCATGAATTTCTTTAAAATGTTGGGCAAACAAAGAATAGAAGGGAACTTTCTTAACCTAATAAAGGATATTTACTAAAAGTCTGTAAGAGATATAATAATGGTTAAACTACAGCAGAACTGAGAAATTAGAAAAGAATACCACCATCACCACTTCTATTCACACTTTAATAGCAAGTACTACCCAATACTAAAAGACAGAAAAGGAATAGACAAGACAAAGTTGTCCTATTTTTAGTCAATGTAATTATATGGCAAACCCAAGAAAATTTATATAGTGTTAGAACTAGTTGGCAAGTTCATCATAGTTGTTGGATAAAAGATCAGCCCATAAAAATTGGTAGCATTACTGTGCTCACTTATAGTCCATTGAATATATAATATTTTTAAAGGCTGCATTCACTATAGAAATAAGACCATAAAGTACTTGAACTCCTCAAAGCCATCCGTGAGAGGTGGAAATCAAATTCTTCGAAACTCCTGTTAATATGGATATTTTGACCTTTTCCATGAATAATGAATGTTCTTAGTGGCGTCTAGAATGGTGAATCCTTTCTGGAGGGTTTTCAATTGACTTTGTCCAGACAGAGCAGAGGAATCACCATCTATGGCTGTTACAGCCCTGTGAAACATATTTGTGAAATAATAAAACTTGAAGGTCAAAATTATTTCTTGATCATGGGCTGCAGACTGGATGTTGTGTTAAGAGACTTGAAAACAACTTTAATCTCTGCATATCTCAATCAGAGCTCTTAGGTTGCTAGGTGCAATGTCAATATTTTGAAGGAATTTTTTTTTTTTTTTCCTGAGCAGTTAGTCTCAATAGTGGGCCTAAAATATTCAGTAAACCATGTTGTAAACAGTTGTATTATCATCCAGGCTTTGCTGTTCCATTTATAGGGTACAGGCAGAGTAGATTTAGCATACTTCTTAAGGGCCCTAGGATTTTCAGAATGGTAAATGAACACTGGCTCAATAATAATGGTGAAGAAGTTTGAAATATTTCGAGAATTACCAAAATGTGACACAGACAAAATCAGCACATGCTATTGGAAAAATGGGGCCAATAGACTTGCTTCACACAGGGTTGCCACAAATCTTTGACTTATAAAAAAGAAAAGAAGCAGTATCTGCGAAGTACAATAAAATGAAGTGCAATAAAGTGAGGTGTACCTGTATACCAAGTGCTAATTACAGATTTTTTTTTGTTACAGAACTTTTTTATAATCATGAAACACAAGAAACAGTTACTATCAATGGAGAACAGATCAGAGAAAACTGATATATTCATATGTAGAATATTATACAGAGTTTTAAAATGAAAGAAACTATGTAAATTGAAATGGATAAATCTTGAAAACAATTTTGAGTATAAAAAGCAACTTATAGAAGAATGTATGCATTTTGATATTTATATGAAGTTTGAAAGCATGCAAGACTATATGCTTTGTTTCTTGATACATATGTAATTATGATATAAAAATGTAAATGAGAAGGATAAGATTCAAATTCAAGATAATGACTACCCCTGGTGATCAGCAGGAAATGAGCTTATGAAAGGGAGCTCAGAGGAATTAATTACATCTGTATTGTAATAATTTCTAAAGAGCTGAGGCAGGTACTATAAAATGTTGAGCTTTTTTGAGTTTGGTGGTGGGTATAGTTAGGTTAAGCTGTTCTCTGTACTTTTCTGTCAATTATGTGTATTGACAATTAAGTTTTATATTTTCCTATGAATCTTGTTGCATTTTAAACAGTGACCCTATCATAAAATCATCTATTAACTCATACCAACTGTTAGAATTGCTTACCATTCTAAAAATTTGTTTTCAAGAATAAAACTATGTGAAGAGAATTTGGATTCATGGTTAATTGTTTTGATTTTTTTTTCTCTTGAGATTAACTATTTCAAAATGATAGTACTAGCTACTACCATTTATGCAGTGCTTACTCTGTGCCAGACACTATTATAAGCACTTTACTTATATCTCATTTAGTTCTGTAAACAACTCTGAGATAATTATTCATTCACATTTCCAATGGGGAAACAGGCTTAGAGAAAGTAAGTAGTTTGTCGAAGGTTACACAGCTAATAAATAGTAGGGTCAGAATTGGAACTATGACTCTGAAACCCATGTTTTTAAGCTACATTATAAAGCCTTTTCTTTACCTATAGTTATAAAAATTATATAATAAATTAGGGCTTATTGAAAGGGGAGGAGGATAAAACATGTCTGTGGTATATGATCATTTCTAAGTTGGAAGAGACCTAAACTATAAGCATCTCTTCACATTTTTAGTCTTCTCTTCCATCCACTGTATTCATACCTGACTCCATCCTCCTGTTATTTTTGAAACCTTACTGTCAATTTATGTAAAACATAATAGATTGCAATTTCTGCTGTCATGATGGCAATTTTTAGTTGAGAAAACAGTTAAAGGAGTTAAAATTGGGAAGTCAGCTAGGAGGCAGCTCAAGGAATCCAGTATGACTCGAAGTTTACATGCCATATTGCATTTTGCAACAACCAGAACTCATGTCTTCTGATTTCAGATCTGGTGGTGTTACTATTCAATCATTCTTTAAAAAGCAATCTGAGGTCAGGCACAGTGGCTCACATCTGTAATCCCAGCACTTGTGGGAGGCCAAGACAGGAGGATCACTTGAGTCCAGCAGATCAAGACAAGCCTGGTCAACATGGCGGAAGCCCTGTCCCTATAAAATACACACAAAATTTAACCAGGCACACTGGTGTGCGCCTGTGGTCCCAGCAACTCAGGAGACTGAGGTGGGAGGACTGCTTAAGCCCAGGAGGTAGAGGTTGTAGTGAGCCATGATTGTACCACTGCACTCTAGCCTGGGTGTCAGACCAAGACCAAGACACTGTCTCAAAGAAAAAAAATAAAAAGCAATCTGAAAAAACAACATTAAGGTTGATTAATTCATAACCATCTTTTGTTATTTTATTCCCTTCTACTGCCTTTTACTATGCTCCCACTAGATGTCCTCTTCCTCTTGCTAGAATTACCCTTTATGGAAATGAGCTCATGCTAGAATCCAGAATACCATTTTCATAATAGTTTTTTACCAGGAACAGAGCACAAGATAGAAGAGTAGCGACTCAATTTCTCCTGCTAAAATCAAGATACCTACTCTCTTTTTCCCCAGAAATCTTCAAAACCAGTAGATTCTAGTTTTAACTGAGCCATTAGAATTTAGTTTATTAATGATAGGTTATATTAATGATGGCAAAATTTTTGGCAGTTTGGATTCTGTTTGTTTTGTGAAATTATAACAATGTATTTTAGATGACAGGAACTGTTACCTCTGGTTTACAGAATATGAAAGTACATGTCCACCACTGAGAAAGAACTATAAAAAGAAAGCCTGGCTTCAGTATTCTAATGTTTATACTTTACCTAGTTGTACATATCTATATTCTTTGTTGTTCAAGTTAAACTTCGTTTTCTAGAACCAAAAGTCTGCCCACTCTTTTGGCCAAGTTTGTTGATAATATTCTATCGGAAACCTTTAATGAGAGCTGTTAATATAAGGATTCTGTTACTCATCAGAAAGAATTGATTTACTCTCTTGAGAATATTGGGATCTCTTCTGTTAAAATTATAATTAATAGTCATATAATTTTTGTTTAGAGACTTTCAAAGAAATACATAATTGTGCTCACATAGTTGTGCCCCATAATTAAATCTTTCTGTGTTTGTAGTGGTAGATTATTTATGTTTTACCTTCTTTATTTTCTAAGGAACTGGCATTTGATCCATATGAATCGTATGCTCGAGATATTTTGCGGCCTGGTTTTCATGATCGTTTCCTTAGTCAGTTATCGAAGCCTGGGGCGGCACTTTATTTGCAGGTATAGTAATTTTTAAATCAAGATGTACAGTGTCTGAAAAGCAAACTTAAAAAAAAATTAAATCACTTTGTTTTCTAGTCAATAGGCGAAGGTTTCAAAGAAGCTGTTCAATATGTTTTACCCAGGCTGCTTCTGGCCCCTGTTTACCACTGTCTCCATTATTTTGAACTTTTGAAGGTAAGAAAACTCTTACTGTGATTTGTAACATATTCAAGTGTGATGAATTTTTTTTGCTACTTCATTTGTAAATTATGTGAGTACCCATGCACATCAGCGTGTATCCATTTTCTTTTTCCAGTTAAGAAGCAAATGCAAATCAGTCTGCAAAAGAGTGGCATATTTTCTTCAGTTTTAGTAGTGAATTTTATTTTTTGTTGTTTTTAAAATTTTTTTTGTTATTTTTTATTTTTATTTTAGGTTTTTGTCGTGAATTTTAAAGCAATTGTCAGATATTTTTATCTTGCACCTTTACTTTTTGTTTACATGGCTGATTCTTTGAAACCAACCTTGGATTTATGCATTGCAGTTTCCATTTGGGGACCTCAGCAGACTCAGGGAGTCAGTGTGAGAATAAGGGACCCAGTGTGAGGATAAGGCCAAAGTAATGAGGAAGGTTAGTTTACTTGATTTTCATAGTTCAAGTTGCAACTATCTCTATTAAACTGTTTATCATTACTTTAGAAACTATAAATTTCTATAATCTTAGTAAAAATTGACTATTTGATCACAGTTCAAAATATTAAGCACTGATCAAAAGGAAAGGGTTTTCTTTTCCTATTACACACTGAAATTAAAGAAAAGAGAAACCTTAGTCTGTATAAATTATAATTCAATAGTGTAGCTCAAAGTGATATTCTCTCTACCTTTAATGTACTAGCCTTGTAAAGACAAAACAAGAGATGCATTAATAGCGTTATTATTTCTTTAGCTTTCAAATGAACATTTGTTTCATCAAAGAGAACTATTTAATATCATGATTCTGTTATGCAAAATATAGTACTGGAAATCATATTTATAGTTTGCAGATGATGAAATGGGCTGTCTGTAATACATCAACGAATGAATAGAAAATCTGAATTTATTAACAGTAAACTGAAGGAACTCTCATCCCTACATTTTCTCAGGTCTCTGCACTGCATAGTAGTCATTTAGAACTCAGTTTGATTTCTCAAGTAGGAATGTTTACATTGAGAAAGGACTAAGGGAGTTAAAAGGTAATTTTAATCACTAGGCAGAATGACAGAACTATTAGCAATCTATTTCAGACTTCAAACAGCATACCACTTAAGGTCTTTGGAAATACAGGATGAGTATCTTAAGAAGATAATCAAGAGAGGAAGCATTTAGTATGTAAAGTCTTTACAAAGATTTCATTATTACTAACTTTAGATAGAATGGGACATTTACATAACTGTTTTTGTTACGTAGAATTTTTCTTTCTAATGGTTTCTCTACTAATGGGATTTTTTTTTTACCTGATCCTGTAATGATTTTCAGAATGATTCAAAGGCTGTAAAAATTCTTAAGGCCATTATCAATTTATAAATAAAAACAAGGAGGCCAGGTGTGGGCTCTCTCCTGTAGTCCCCGCAATTTGGGAGGCTGAGGTGGGAGGGTCGCTTGAGCCCAGGAGTACAAGACCAGCCTGGGCAACATGGCAAGACACTGTCTCTACAAAAATAAAAATAAAAACATTAGCCGGGAATGGTGGTGCGCACTTATAGTCCCAGCTACTCAAAAGCCTGGGCAGGAGGAATACTTGAGCACAGGAGGTCTAGGCTGCAGTAAGGCATGATCATGCCTCTGTACTTCAGCCTGAGAAACAGAGCACGCCCCTGTCTCAAAAAAAAAAACAAAACAAAACAACCTCCCCCTCCAAATGAACCCAAGAAGGTTTGACGAAAGTTCAGAAGGTTATAAAACACAATCATTTTAATAATATAAAAGAAATTTTTACTCCTCCAAGGGTAGGCAATTAAAATTTCTAAAATTATAACTTGCATTAATAGAATTTTAATAAGTACATCATTTAGCAATTTAAGATTTCTACTGATTTAAGCATGTATATCCCTGGTTCATATTACTGCCTAAGTTATATTGCAAAGTTAGCAGTATGTTGGGCAGAAAATTTTGCCTAATTAGTCCATAAGACTCTCATCACTTTTTTTTTCCTGCATTCGCTCAACATTAATGTACTATTGGTACTTATTTTTTATTTGTATTTGTTGGTGTGCTGCTTAATTCTTTTCATTGAGCAGTATTTTCAAAGTATATTCTATTGGATGCGAGTCTTATAAGATGGTTTCTAAATAAAGTTGGCAGGTATTTCAGGAGTTTGAGGCTGCAGTGAGCTAGGATCACATTACTGCTCTCACTTCAGCTTGGGCAACAAGTGAAACCTGGTCTCTTAAAAAAAATGATGGAGGTTATTCAGTGATCAAATATGTTTGGGAACACTGCATTCTTAATTATACCTCTAGAAATTTTCAGTGTGCATGAGAGTATTAAACCTTTGTAAAATTGCACAATAAAGCAATCTAATTGTTTTCCAGGATTTCCCAAATCAATTAGCCCACGGTACCCTTTTATAATATATTGCATTTGTGGA